ATTTTAAACCATTCCCACACTCTTGCAATATTCTAAACAATGTTTCTAAACGCTTTAAAAGAGCACAACATGTCATGATTTCAGCTCTCTGCCTCCATCTGCCAGCGTTCTCGGCCACGCCCACTTCTCCGCTGCAGAGTGGATATGACAAGCTGCAGGAGGGAGCTTCTCCTGCAGCTTGGGCTGTACATAGGTGCAGCATGTGCTAAATAGTTTAAAATAATTTATTTTATATAAAAATCCCATGCCGATTGTGCGGCTCATCCATCAATCATTGTATCATGTCCAATCTTATTTTGAAAAGCCGTGATAGAGCGAGTCCGTGAAAAAAGAACCGCGAAGTAGCGAGGGACTACTGTACTCAGGGTCCCAGTTACAACCAAAAATATAAAGTATAAAAAGAAACAGCATATAAGGATCTAAGATATACACTAAACACTAATAATGTAAAACAATACGTCGTATCAACCGCAGCCTGAACATAAGTCTTAATCTACTAATATGAGTTTTCTAACAAGTATGTTTTCAAAAATATTCCTTTATCTTATAAACCCTGAGTACATAATTTAGTTCCACCTCATGTACCACATGTGATGTGAATGACAATAAACTTGACTTGAACTTGAACTTAAACATTATAATTTTCTAAAATTGGCCAGTTTTCTCTGCTGGCTGCTGAAGCACCGGGAAATCCCCTTGCATATTTGTGAAGCTTAAGGTTTTCCTCTTTTTAAATATATCGCTGGAATCCCCGATGACATCACTCCAGAACAATAAAAATCAAACTTTCAAACAGGCAGTCTCTTCACTAAAACAAGCTTATTGGTGAGGGGATTCTGCATCGGATTAGGATGCCTCGTGGATGCCTCTCTTTGGAGGTTTTCTGGGCATGTCCCACTGGTAAGAGGCCCCGGGGCAGACCCAGAACTGGCTGGACAGATTTTGTATTATTTCTGGCTTGGAAACACCTCAGGGTCCCCCAGGAGGAGCTGGTGAGTGTCACTAGGGAGAGAGATGTCTGGGTTTTTCTTCAGGGCCTGTTGCCTCTACGGATAAGCAATGAAAGATGGAGATGGAGCTTATTGCCAGGCCAGGTGATAAAGCACCAAATAAAAAAATAAAATAAAATAATTAAATATATATATATATATATATATATATATGTTTTTTTAAGCTTTTCATATCAAGAAATAAAAATAAACAACTCAAGATTAATTTTTTTTGTTGCATCTAGGTGTGTAAAATGAAGCTTGAGAACAGTTTTCTGGACCCTCCTATTTTCACATTTGTATTTTGGATATAAACATGCACTGGTAAACATCAGTGCACTATCTCTTAACATTTCTTGTCCATAATCATGCATTTTTCACATTTACTAAACTACTTACTCACATAAGTCACCATTACTTCATAATAAAAGGTGAATGTGTGGTGTTATAATTCGTGCATTCTCTATTAGACATACCTTTTCAGGGTGTTTCAGTCATCTTGTTTCTGTCAGTTATCAGTGTTCTGTGACCAGTTTAGCCAGGCAGTTGTTCTTGTTTCATGTTCTTGTTCTGTAGTTTATCCTCAGCTCCTGTGTTTGCCCAGTCACTCACGCCTGTAATTCATTACCAATCATCTCAGCTACTTCGACTCATTAATTAACACTACCTGCAGATATATGCTTCTTTGTCTTCCCTTGTTCTCAGTCACTTTATATTGTCTGAGTCATGGTTTTGGGCATGTCTGCTTATTTTGGTTTTGTTTAACTTTCTTAAATACTTCCTTAGACTTTTACCTGCTTGCTTTCTGCCCTGTTCATCATAACCACGAACACGACAGCTAAACAGTTTGTGTCTTAATTGATGTTTTCCAAAAGTAGCAAGATGTATGGTTTTTCAACTCTAAAGTCACATAATTCAACTAGTTAAATATCTCTTGCCTCAACCTATGTTTTTCAACATGGTAGTTTTGTGTGGGAGATTCTGCAGCGGGCTTGACCCTAATGTAGGTGTGGAGGTCCATGTAAAATATTTTTAAATGCCATTCTACACTAATAAAATAGTATTTAGCCTAAGAAATCTTAAACTTGGGAGCTTTAAAATAATTGTTAACCCGCAGGTTTCAAGTTGGGCTCATGATCATAAGCTGTATTTTTGAAGACATTGCTTACTGCCTCTATAAAATGTACCTCTTTTTGACTGTGCCAGAGTCTGCCAGCAAGTCTTCTAGACAGCCAGCCCTGCACCCACTCAAGTCAACTGCAGAAGCTCAAAGTAGATCATCCGATCAGCTTCACCAGCAGAAGTGTGCACCGGGCCGGCCAGACAACAGTCATGATTGGAGAGACTCCTAAAGCTATACGCAGGTAGTGACGAGCAAATACAGCCCTGTTCAAATGAGATAAAAGAAGGCAAATGAACTATATTTGTGTGTGTGTGTGTGTGTGTGTGTCATTGAATTAATAAATAGATTCTAGGAGAGGAAAAGCTTGATTTGGAAAACAGTCGTGCTAGTAGACATAGTAAAGGAAATGTATGTTATATAAAAGCATCAGCAACAAGAAAAGAAAGAAGTTTAGATGAGTGTAGAATAGAAAGGTGAACAAGTAAAATTTTAGGGGTGGGAATGGGGAGGGAGTGGAAAAAAGAGAGGAATTCCTGGCAGTGTAGGGGAGACGGACAAAATCCACCACGGATATAGTGTTGACTGCCTCTTCCCAGGCCTTAATAATGATGTGTGTGTGTGTGTAGAAAGAGACCACCTCTGAGGTTTCGCTTTTACCTATTTCCTCGCATCATGCCAAAGATTACCCAGTAGTAATCAGGCCCAACAGTGGAGGAGTTTACCCTCCTGAGACTGACCAAAAATGATCGCCTTAGGCCTTTTAAACCCACACATTCTAACAAAAATATGCAAACACACACTTACAGACGCATAGTATTCACACGTAGCCATGTTGCTGCATCACCTCTGCTCCTTCCCTCCCCAACCTCATCTGCAGACACACAGACACCTTTATGGCTCCAGCTTCACTTCCCGGTGGGGGTGGACGGCTGTATCTCTGCCCAGCGCCTCACCAGGGAATGCAAACACACACTAGTTACAGTGATATCATCTCAATTAACCTCGCTGTTTAATGATCTAAATCCACATGCGGGTCAGGTTTTACTGCCTTTACTTTTATTTATTGTTTTTCCAGTGAACACTGGAAAATGCTGCGGTAACAGCCGTTACTCTAAAGTGTTTCTGTCCCTGTGTCTGATTAGACCAGCGTTTTAATGACTGCCCAGGAGCTCCGTAAAAAAAAAAATCTTAACTGCTCTGGTGTCTGATTGTAAGTCTGAATGTGGTGAACTTTCATCTGACGTTAGACTAAAACAATTAAGAAAATATTCTAAAATGTTTACGATCCTCTCATATCAAGGATAGTTACTTTGTAGTAGGTAATTAAAAAATATATAGCGGTTTATTTTTGGTGCCTTGACTGATTAATTGAAAATCTGAAATTGCAGTTTCTCGTTGAATGGAAATAAAAGAGCAAAAGGTGTGACAATAAGTCAGATATTTAAAGGTAATTACCGTATTTTCCAGTGTATAAGTCGCTCCGGAGTATAAGTTGTATCAGTCAAAAACATCATGAAGAGGAAAAAACATATATAAGTTGCTTTGGCGTATAAGTTGCATTTATTATGTATTTATTTATGGTAATGGTCAAAATAGCTTCATTTCACCTGGACAGCACGACGTCATCCATCCATCCATCCATCAATCGATTGCGGCTGGAGCATTCCTCCACCTGCACCAGCTGAGTGAAGCGAGCACACACGGGAGGACTCACTGTTGCAGTTCTTCAAATTTTAAAGCGTCAGTCAAAAATTGTGTTATGAATATGGGGGAAAAAAACGTATAAGTCGCTTCGGCATATAAGTCGCAGGACTGACAAATCTACACAAAAAACTGCGACTTATATGCCGGAAAATATGGTACGTATCAAAGTAGATCAAGTACTTGTAAAGCAGTACCACTTGCTATTTCTGGCCTTCTAATGATAAACTTTAGTTTTAAAGTTGAAAGTTTTTAATGTTTGGATTTCACATTTTTGAGGATTTTCAGATTTCGTAGCAGCTGCAGCATTATCTGTAACGGATGTTAGGAGGAAATCAAACAAAATTAGATTTAATCTACTCATAGATGGAAATTGAAAATATTTTCAAAACCTAGGGATCTACACCAAAATGACATGCTTATTACTTTTCAAATTTTTTTGAGTCGATATTCGTAAATATCTGCTCCAAAACAGAAAATGTGATTTTTGTTTGTAATATCCATAAAATCCTTTCTTTTGTTTTGAGTTTAATGCAAAACGCCTCACGTTATGCATGCAAATGCTAAATTTGGGGCTTTTTTAATTTGTATTTTTTTATTTTTGTGTTACAGACAGCAGCTTGAGGTAATGGCAGAACAATTTAAATTTCCCTCAGTCCATGAGTTTGCCACTGAGATCCTGAGAGGAAACTCGTCTCACAGGCTTTCCTGGCTGCGACAGTATTACACTTCTCTGAATCACACAGATGTGGCTGATATAATCACAGAAAACATCCCAGAACCTGATTCAGCTCAAGCAGCCTCCTCTGCCACTTCTACCTTATCATCATCCACAAAAAGAGCTTCCAGAAATCGGTATACAGACACTAGAAATCAACAAAAAGAATCTTTAAGAACCCCAAAATCTGCGAAGTTCTCTCAGAGGAATCTGAAACCCAGATCTAAGCCTGAACCTCCACAAAATAATGATTCTTCGCCACAAATCAGATCAGGCAATCTAGAAAATGATGATCTTAAACCTCCCAAAAAGCCAAAGATAATACAAAAGAATGTGCCAGTTCCAAACCCAGAGTCAGAGAAGCAGGAGGAGATGGTCTGCGGTGCCAGGGGACACAAGAGGACAAAGAAGAGTAGTGTTTCTAGTTCTCGAGCGTGCAGAACTGACGGTGCTCTCAGCGTGGATCAGGCCAGCAGCAGTGGTCTGGGGTCCAGGGAGGCTGCTGCTTTCCTGAACTGCACAGACAGAGATACCCCTTCTTCTTCTGACCCCAGCCGTTGCAGCTCTGCCATGTCATCCAAACCCGCAGGACAAGAAACAGAGCAGGAGCAGAAATCACCGCGGTGGACGAGTGAAATACAGAGACAAAGAGAGAATTCTCAGTCTTCTGTGACCTCCTGCAATCAGTCCCTTCTAACAGACCTTATAGGAGATACATCCATTCTAGATGACATACTGAAACCAAAGGCTAAGAATCCACAACACAAAAGCAACCCTGAGACACCCCGCACACCATCAGCGTCACTAAGCACAGGTCTCAAGTCTCCACCGTCCAATCTAACGTTAGATGACGCATGCTCGCACATACAAACTGAACACCGGGTCAGTACACCAGTGCAGGTGACAAGGAGTCGTCGCAAAGACATCTGGGACATCCTCAGTGAGGGTAATGAGGAGAGTATCAACAGGCTAACAGATCCGGAAGAACTGCAGAGAGTGTGCATCGACACCAGCTTTGCAGAGCGAAGTTTGTCCAAAAAGAGGGAGAGCACGAGTCTGTGGAAAACGAATGACAAGTTCCTGTGGAAGAAATGACGAAGACTTTTATATGAGATTTTTTACATTTAGCAAGTTTTCATTCAGAGTTTTATACTTTTGAAAAGTGCTCGGAACAAAAAATTTTGTCCTAAGTAACAGCCGTGATGTTTATTAGAGATGCACCAATCCCATATCAATATCGGTATCGGTACCGATATCTGAAAATTTATAGAAAATATGTAATTAGGTCTGTCTTTACACCAGAATGGTTCAGCCAGCTAAGTTTTGGTGATGGGAGCCCAATACCAGTGTTTTAAGTTTTTTAAATTTTTAATTTAATGTCAGTTAAATGTTTTTAAAGCTCATTTACTGTACTGATTATATATGTCACATGAACCATTTTAAAATTATTTAACAATTTGATTTCGTGTAGGCAAAAGTTGCATAAAGTTATTGTCAAATTATTAATTTGCTAAAAATGTAGGTTCTGACTTTAGTTTCCATAAATATTTTACCTTCACAATTATTCACAATACTTTTCCCTTTGCACAGGTACTGATTAAAGACGTACCACTTCACAGTAAGTGTACCTTTATAAATTATCTGTTTAGAATTGATAATGCAGTTAATAAACCGTTATTAAGCAGTTACATTAAATTAGATATAAAGGACATACTGACAGTGCAGCACGGTGGCGCAACTGGTAGAGCTGCTGCCTCTCAGCGAGCAGGTCCTTGGTTCAAACCCCGGTCCAGGGGCCTTTCTGGGTGGAGTTTGCATGTTCTCTCCGTGCATGCGTGGGTTTTCTCCGGGTACTCCGGTTTCCTCCCACAGTCCAAAAACATGCATGTTAGGCTGATTGGTAACTCTAAATTGTCCCTAGGTGTGAGTGAGAGAGTGAATGTTTGTTTGTCTCGTTTGTCTCTATGTGGCCCTGTGATGGACTTGCGACCCGTCCAGGGTGTACCCCGCCCCTCGCACAGTGATTGCTGGACATGGGCACCAGCGACCCCCGTGACCCAAAATGGAATAAGCGGGTAAAGAAAATGGATGGATGGATGGATGGACATACTGACTTGTTTCTGTGCCAAATAGAGCCAATACTTATTTGTACTCCATTCTTGCTGTTCACCTGCATTCTTTGTGATTTGGATTTTAAATGTCGAACATTTAACTAAGTTAAGCACTATAAGTATTTATAGATCTAAAGTTTGCTTTTACTATATCAAGTAATGTAGTTTAAAACAGAAAGTGAGTAACCATGAAAAATTTACAATGACCTGAATGAATACGCGCAAGTACAACACTTGATTTAGCCAAATAACGAGCCTGCTTCAACGTATGAACAATATTTTTATGCTGAAGTCTGGATGTATTATGGAATTGTCCATAAACTTTCTCTTGTCCAGGTCATAACTTCTGCTCCATTCAAGATAATTCAACAAAACTTCATATGCATCATCACTAGACGTAATGTTTTTTTAAAACAAGGTCTTTGCTTGTCCGGACCTTTGCTTAGATTGCTGTTTTAATATTTTGTTGACTGTTGCATAATGTGCTGTATATGATACTCTTGTTAAAAATGTTTACTTATTTATAAAGTGTTTATAAACCCATTTACTCAGCGTGAATAATTTTATTTTTTGTACAAAATTTCTGATAAAAATGTATTTGCGTTTGATGTAAAGTAAAAGTTTTGCCTTTACAGCCTGTTATATATGTATGCTTGTACTATATGAACTTGTATATATGTATCTTGACTGCACAGATAAACATTGTCAAGACCCAACCTGTCATTGCGTATGATCTGATGTTCAGTGAATCATTTAATGGAAAAAAAAACAACAACCCAGTTTTTATCTTTGTCCACTGTTGTTACAGGATACCAGTAATTGGTGCCTGGGAGCTGTTGGTGGGCCTGCAGTGATGCCCCTTTAAACTACCTAATGGCTGTTATTTCTCAACCCCTCTCCACCCTTCACTGCCTCCCACTCCCACAGAGAGTGTACATGCAGTGTACTGTAAATGGTGTGATTCCCCCGCCGTTCTCTGCGCTGTAATCTGAGCAGCCTGTGGTTCGGCTCCGTTGACCCTCGAAGGCCCTTAAGAGTAAAAGCTGCTGTGCTATTAGTGAAATAACAATAAGCAGCTGAAGACTGTGGATCTAGAAGAACAGGGATGATCAGTGGTATATCTCCACCCGGCCCACATGTTTGAAGATGGTTTCAATCTCGGACGTTTTGTTAACGTTTGCATGTTTTCAAAAAAAAGGGAAGTCGTTCATTGCTCTAAATTAAAAATTTGTTGCAATATGAAAACAAAATCAGGCTTTTTGTGCGTGTTTCAGTCTGCGCTGTGCCCCACAGCTGTGTTCGACATTTTTCAGCTGTTGCGCTGAAATAAAGAGAGCTGTGCTGTGAGAGTTTTGTTAAGCAGAAATGAGAAAGTGCTGATAGCCATCAATAAACAAAGAGGTACGTCTGCGTGTCTCAACAGAGCGTGCGAGTTGTTAAACAGCTTGTGTGTGTGTGTGTCACTGGGTGGTAATCGCACACACAAGTACAGCGAGGCCACACATCTGTGACACCTGTTCAAATCCTACGCCCAAGGATAAAAAAGCCTTTCTTTTCCAAAAACCTCAAATTGCTCCGTCTTACCGATTCATCCACAGATTTGCAGATTCCTATCTTGGGGTTTGTTGAAGTCACAGTCTGGTTCAAGTGAGATATTGGAGGGCCTTTGCATTTGTACTAACAATTGAAGGGCTTACCAGATGACTGACAAGTTAAAGCCTAACATGGTCCAGCAGCAAACAATAGTCTCTTATCTTTAAAGCTATCTGTAGAATTTAACCAAGAATCTGTACCGAGATGTTTAGCCATCACAAGCGACATATGATGATGATTGGATGCAATTTCCCGAAGAACTCATGGTCATAATTTCAAGGGTTTTCCCACAAACGTCTGGCCCCTTTGTGTCGAGAAGGTGAGAAGTCTTTAGGTATCAACCTAAACTTTACTGTGGTGGAGGCTAAAGAATCACTCAAAACATACTTTGAATGGAACATCTTGCAAAATCTCATATTGTGCTAGTGGTGATTTTAGCCTCTTTTTGGGGGGTGCTCAAGCACCCCTAAATTTTAACTCTGCACTCCTGAAAATTTAAGAAACCCTCATTAAAATTTTGTAAGAAAACTCAGTTCTCAGACTTTAGACTCATCAAAACATTTAATAAATTTGGACTAAGTATGTAATAAACGATGGCAGTCTTAAACGGGCCAGTAAAACCTGTATAGGGTATATACTGTATATATTTTTGCACGAGTCGGATTCTCAACACCACCTGTCAATCAACACAGTAGGCTCATCAACAACTGACCAATCAACGCTCTCAATTTGTCCCGAAGTGGTTAGGATGTGTGAGAGAAATGGAGCGCTTCGTCTGTAGCATCTTAGCTAGCTTATCTGTATTGTGCAATACAGTTGTTGACCGGGGGTGGGGTGGTGGTGGTGGTGGGGTGTTAGGATGCGAGAGAGAAGCGGAGCATGCTCCATTCACACAAGGAGGGAGCTGTTGGTCACGCTACTCCTTGTTGCTCTCTAAAATAGTTATTGAATCAAGTGTGTACATATGTAGGTAAACAACTGTTTAAAATTCACCAGAATGCAGGAAATGGCATCTACTTTATTCGAAATCTTCTGGGGCACCCCCAACCAGTGTAACCCCACCACACACACACACACACACACACACACACACACACACACACACACAC